TGGGAGTGACAACCACTTCAGGGGCTGACCTTAATATGTTCAATGCTGGGCTCTTAGTATTTTTAAGTTCTGGGATCCAAACCCTACCACGCTGATCCACACTGTATCTTTAGGTTTGGACACCTTTGGACAGCCAGAGCTTTCTAGTTCGACAACGCCGCAACCGAATCTATGGGGTGGCTTTCAGCAACTTTGGTGATGGTGGTCAGCAGGAGCTGAAAAAGACCTTCAAGAAAAACATTGAGTCCTTGCACTCTCACTGTCACTTCCCAATGGAGCAAGTTTTCTTTCAAGACTTACCGACTGAGAAGCCACGTACGCAAAGAGAGTGGACACGTGTACAGCAAGCCGTGGAGAAAGCAAAACTGGCTGCTAGGTCGCAAGTTTGCCCATGTTGAGCCCACCCTAGAAAGCCTGATATGTATATATATATATGTATATACCTTCATTGAATTAACAATTATGTACCAACACATGCGAACTAGGGCATGGGGTTTGGGGAGGTGGATGTTCTAAGTGTGTCATCCCTGCTTGGCCTAGGCTGGTCAGGACAACAATGTCTTCGTGAACACTAGCACGTCAGACCAAAGAGGAGTAGAAAGTGCTCATGAAGTTTCCACATGCGTGACACCTTCCCATGCAGTCTACGCATCACTACTGGGCAGGTACCTTGTTCCAGAGGAGCTTCTTGCGTGCCAGGGGATATTTCGATGTGACGCTAGCGATGAGAAAGTCTTTGACACCATTCTCCAGCAGCCTTCATCCCAGGTCAGCGCATCGCTTGCACAAGATCTAGCGGGAAACAGCTTCACAGGAACAGTCATTCAAGCAGTCTTCCTGACAACAATGGCTTCTTCTGATTCATGGCAACGTTTGCAGCCAGATGTGCAATGTGCTCCTAGTGACAGTGGTCATTGTCCTCTGGAATTTCCAGTACAACCTACGCTTGAAGTTGGGGATCAAAAGCCAGTTGATTCCCTGCAACTGTGTGAAAGCTTTGGCAACCATAGTGGGAAAAAGCGAAAGTTGCCTGAAGATGAGGAACCCAACAAGTCCGGTGTGGTCAAGAAGTTGTGGGTCTCCAAGACCCGGCTGCGGGGAAAATCCGGGCCTCCTGGCAAGGCTGGTCGAAAGAAGAGAGTCACAGGAAAGGATTTGGTGTGCAAGGCCCCGACTCCAAAAAGGAAGCACGGGGCAGGTCCTGGCAACAAGCATGCCAAGGGAAAAAAGGCCATGGCCACGATAGCACAGAAGGAAGCAATTTTTGCAGCATTGGAGACTGCAAAGAAGAACAAGGAAGAGAATCCGTACAAGGCCGTGGCCAAGCTCAATCTTCCAGGCTTTTTCACTGGATGCACATTTCCATCCAAGTGGGGCAAGATTAGGCAAGAGCAGCGGTGGGACCTTTTGATGGAAACTGCGCCGCACATCTGCAAAAAGTTCAGGGAGCTGCCAAATAGCATCAGGCGAATCATGCATATGAAGAAGTTCAAGCATGGCGATGGGACTTCCACCACCAAGCAGAAATCTTGCCTGCCTCATGCGCTAAAAGAAGTCATTGAGGGCCTCATCATGGATCGCATTGATCTTGGAGAAGAGGTCTCGATGCCCTTTGTCAAATCCACCATCCTGTTTTGCTGCAACTTGTGGAATGAAAACGTGTTGACTGTCCAGAAGATGATGGAGGCAAAGCAGATGGATCTGTTGCAATTGCACGATGAGAAGCTGTCCAAAATGACCGCTGAGCAAATTGACCAAACCTTTGAGAAGATGAACCAGCATGCAAAGGAGGTCTTGCAAGTGGTCAACGTGGCTGAGACCGATGGTGCTCTGTTGCAACCAGGTTGCACAACGGCAGGGTCTAATGGTGTTGTCCGTATATGCACTACGCTATAAAATAAATATATATATCATTGGGCACATCGGAATTTATGCATACCTCTGCAGTAGTGTATCATGTGTACATATATATATATATATACAATTGCAGTGTGTATACATTATATATATATGTATTTTAATATACATATGGAGGGGAAGCTATGGAAGGCACTTGTAGCTACGAGTAAAAGGGATGCTCATGGATGTTCTAAGTGATGGGTTTGCAGGGCGGTCATTGAAAAACTACATCTGTCTTTTTTGACCCATGTCTGTTGAGGAAACAGGCCCAGCGCTTGTGCAACCAGTTCGGGATTGTGAACAAATCCACGGAGAAGCCTGGAGCACACCTCCCATACTCTCACCCAAGTCTAGAGGCTGTGAGGACACACGTCAAGACTTTGGTTCACCAAAAGAAAATCCATGAGAGATTGATTGCCAACTTCGACCAAGTTTGGTCATTGAGGTTTAGGCCCAACAGGAAATCTTTGATGAAGGAATCGTCTCTTCGTGGAGTTGTCAAGGACCCCTTGATCAAATCAGCATTGATGCGGAAGATCAGGCACTGCCTGGAGCGGTCATTGGACTTACCATTCAGTGAGACAGACCCATCCGGACGCGGACCCCACGAGTTGCGAGCACCTCGGGTTACTGGAGGGGCAGCAGCGTCAGCTTTTGTGGACGAGTGGCGTGTGCCTAGAACGGTGTGCACACTGTCCTTCTCAGATGGCCATATAGGACGCTCCTACATCACAGTTCGCGAAGGCACGATGAGCGAGGACGTCCGCGGCAAGCTCAACACAGAGTTATCCCGCTACCTGTTCATTGACCAGCCACAGCCTCGCTCACACGTCTGGACACAGGAAACATTTGTGAGCTACCTATCCTTCTTAGCAGAGGAGACTCGGCTGTTTATATACAGGCTTTGTGTCAACCCCAAACAGGTGCAGGCAAACTGGGTAAACAAGAAAGGATAAAAAACAATGTGTTCTAAGTGCTGTTTGTTTGAAGGGAATGAGCCTTTGGTGACTGTCGTGTACATTTCTGGCTCCTCTGCGTGTGCGCTCCAAGCAAAGAGAACAAATATATATATATATATGTTATACAATGATATATATATATATGTGTGAGATATAACTATACATATCATATAGCTTCAGAAAGTACTGGAAAGCCAGAAAGCGTTGAAAGAGTATGTTCTAAGTGTGCAGCCAATTATGCAAAAAAAAACGCCTTTGCACACCTGCTTTCAGGAGGTACGGCTGAGAAGAAAACAGCTCAAACTTACGGCAGCAGATCGGGCATTAGTGTTCTGCGACCAGGCAAGTGCCCATATGTCCACAAAGTACTCCCGCATCCATGCCAAGTGGCAAGCAGAGCACAACATAGAACCTCATGTTTCTCCTAATCAGAAAGCTTTGTTTTTGTTCTGGTTTTGTCTGTTTGGAGGTGGTTTGCTCATTTGCGGGATAGTCAAACTGTTAAACTGGTGAGGAGTTGATGACCGGGAACAGTGAAGTTCCAGTTCCCGGTGGATTTGGTGCTGCCGGTGCGCCAAACGATCAGTGGCATCAAGTACACCATAGCCTAACAAAGGCTTACCTCAGGCTGTCGGTGTCCTGGGCATGTGCGCCTAACCTCCGCAAGAGGATGGATGAGCTGCAAATGAGCATTCAAGCCAATCCGTCTACAAAGCCCTTTGGCTTCCAATATATAGTTGTTCTAAGAGAATGTTCTCAGAAGGAATCTATGCTGGGCACATGCTATATATATATAATTGGTGGATATTGCCTCGGTATTGCTCCATTGGCTGGTGCCCCCCTCATTGTTCTAAGTGTGTGGTTTTCAAGCTGATTTGCCTGGCAGGGTTTGAACTTTAGGTTGAGACACTTGTTCTGGGTAGGTCCCAACCAAAGGGCTACAAACCAAGGTGTTCAATCGAAGCATCCATTCGGGCTGATGCCTTTGCAAACCAGCAGCTGAGCACATCAGAGTCCATGGGCAGCATTATATAAAATGTAAACATTGTATTGATTGAATATTAAGAGTATATATGTGTGTGTGTTATGCTTATAAAGGCATCAATATATATATATATAGACATAGAGAAAAATACATTTGAGGTAGGTCCAGGTGTTCCGTGCGCTGCATATTAATCTGTACCAAATGTTCTAAGTGTGCTGATGCGCAACCTGTACCTAGGCACAACAGGCTCATTTGGCTGGCCTGGCTTCAGCGTGGGTACATCCAGAAGGAACAAATTGCCCGATGGAAGTTCAATGGACACTTGAAAGTTGTCTAGAAAGCTCTGTTGTTTGTCAACAATACCACTCTTGCATCCATATATGCACACATATATATATATACATATATTGTAAATATGCAATAATTGTGTGGGTGATCAGGGGCATGTGGGAACGTGGCATGTTCTAAGTGATGCTCATTGCAGGCAATATGGAAGAGGTGGAGGCTCACATCAAAATGCACCGGCAGAGCATGCAAGATGTTCTTCAACTAACAGAGATACCGGAGCTTGGTGGAGACGAGGATCAAGTTCTTCACCACATGCGGATCAACGAGCTCGTGGCGTGGACTTGTTGGGAAACATGTGCAGAGAACCACCAGGGCACTAGCTGTTGAAATTGTTGTATATATTTATACATAAATATGCTATGTACAGTTTTATCGGTATTCTTTACAAATAAAAAGGAACCTATGAGCATTTTGCTATACTGTATAGATATATATATAGGATGCCGCGAGGTGTCGTCTGCGGTCTACTTTCTGTTTCCTAAGGCTGATGAGCAACCATGCCAATGGGCATTGCAGCAGGGTGATGATGCTCAAAGCAGGCGTCCACTACCACCCTGGATGGGAACCATCTTAGAAATGAGAGTGGCGCAGTTTGTGGATGAGCACTACAAGTGGGAAGAGAGGATCTTGAAGCGAGATTCTGCCGGAAAGTCGCTCACCCGCTTGCAAACGGAGAAGCATAGGCAATGGAAATTGGGTGCAAATCCCAAGCTCATTTTTGACAAGGTCAAGCACAAGATTGTTCTTGATGCCAAGCATGTGAATCGCAACTGTGTGGCCATGCAGTTACACCTTCACGAGGACCCGGCCCAGCTGGAGGTGTCTGCATGCAGTGGCATGCGATTTCGCCTGGTGCTGCTCAGTGGTCCCAAGACTGAAGCCGCAGACCCACCAAACGAGTTTGATGGGCCCATTCCTCAAGACATCATTGATGAACTTCAGGAAGAGCAAGAAGATGACCATGATGACATTGGGGAAGAAGCACAAGCTGCTTTGCAGGATGAGGCTCAAGCCAAGGCAGCTGCTGGTTGCGAGACATTGGAGGATCTTCAGCAGGAAGTAGATGAAATCCTTGGAGATTCCGATGACGACGTGCAGGCGTATGGGACACCAGCAAAAGCAGCTTCAAAGGTCAAGGATTTCAGCAGCCGCCCAGCATGGGTGAAATTAGAGCAGCTTGGTTTGACTCTTCTTCCGCGGCACGTGAAAGGCTGTTCGATCGGCTTTCACAAAACCACGAATCAATGGCAAGGATTTTATCCTGGCGCCAAAGAAGGTCTTAGCGCCAGCTTTGGTGCCAAAACAAAACGCTCGGAGGCAGAAGCAATACTTAGGGCAATTCGAGGCATTTTGAAGGCTCACGTCGCTTCCAACAAGAAGGATGTGATGTGGAGCACACAACTCAACAAAGTTCTCACAGCAGAAGCGACCATGTAACAAGGCCACACCGCCATGTAGTTTGTTTAACACTGTAGTGGTGACTATATCCTTTTTAACTTGAACAAGAATATAAATGTTCTAAGTGTATGTGTTTGACAGCAACTCCTGTTCAATGTGAGGGTTCATAGCGGAGTGGTGGCATGCAGGAGGCACAATGGGTGCCAGTTGTTCGGGCATCCAACCGAGATGCATTGGGGGCAGAGAACCGACTCTGCTTGACTACCACACGCCGCCCAGCACTTTATATATATATATAGGGATATATATAATGTATATATAACTCTTTAACTCTTGTATTTCAAACTAGTGGTAGTTACCCTATCCTTTTCGCTGTTATGTCAATGTTCTAAGTGTAGTCATTTGGCAGCAAATCCTGTCCAACGTAGCGAAGCCGGGTGGTGATGCAGTTTGGCATCCAACTGAGATGCATTGGGATATGC